CGAACAAGGTATCTCCGGGGTGAGAAGAGCACTCTCTTGTCGCGACAATGTCCTCCCCGTATAGCAAGGGACGTCAGTTCGTGCGAATAGCAATCTAGGTGGCGTGCTAGGTGGTAATTCACTGTCCTGAGGGCAGAGTCAAGAATTTCACCTAGCGCGGTTGCTGAATTCCCCTTTGACGCCAGCCTTTGCCCCGGGGCCGTTTAGCTCATTTACCGCCCGACTTGCGCGCGAAAACCTTTTGACGTATCCTCGCCGACGCCTTACGGCACTTTTACCCTCGCCCGTCGTTTATTGACTCTTCCCGGCGCGTTTTAACGTGCCGAAATTCGCGCCGTTATTACGCCTCATTTTCCACATGCGGTCTATTCGAGAAACAGAACGCGTCTAAAAGTTGCCGTAGATTTGCTGGAAAATAGATAAGTGGCGTGGCGTCAAATCAGCGCGAAAGTCCTTCCGTGATTTTAGGCGAGTTTGAATTATGCGTATGTCCGAGAGATAATTATCGTCTCCTTTATAATCGAAAGTGAAACTAGTTAGGGAAATGTTAAGATATGAGAACAGAAAGCTTTACAGCGGTTCATCTTGAAACGATTAACATGGGAGTCCGTTAGTCCGACGTTTCGTCTTCAAGTGTCATATATAGCGAGTGGAATTGCGTAGCTCGGCTTTTTCGTGATCATTAAATTTACACACGGGCTGCAATATGCTCCTTTTCAAAATTGTATGCTTCGTGTAGTGAATATCTGATAAATTTGCCGTTTTATGAAATTATCGCGGTACCTTTGATGTTCGTATGAATTGAACGAAATGACGATGAACGAAATTTTATTATTCAGAGGTAAGCGGCTGGAACTAATTTTTATTTGTTGCACCGTCGATAAAGTGCACGCGAGGCGAAAACTTCGCTGGAATATACGAAAGCGTCTGCAGATAGCTGGTTTTTTGTGAAATTTGCATAAGAGCTTTATCAATATGTATAGACTTGCTATTTTTTGTGGTATTAACGCCACTAAATGTATTATAATACTATTGCACGTTGGCGGCAATTATTCGCTCTCGGCTTATGTCTATGGTAATTGACTATTGGTGCATGCAAATTAACCCTTTGAAATGCATTCATTAATATGAGACTGTATGAGAGTGCGAGAAGCTGTTTCCGCAAGAATACTTTACACGCATTAGCTTTCTCTAAGAAACGATCCTCTTCAAATTGATCGAAAAATCTGTAATTAAACGTGCGTTCGTATTATAACTCCTGACGGTTGCGCTTATGAAATTTAAAAAATATCATTCTCTATAAATTAAAAAAAGAAAAGCAAAATTTGGCGCGAGAGAAGCTTATGCAAAGGGTAATTCGGCTCGGCTACGTCTGAAATGTTCCGTACATAATGTAACTTCCTAAAATTTTTACAGAGCTTTTAAGACAAAGTGTACAAGTTGGAACTAGTTTATTTTACCATAAAACTGCGGCATTCCGAGAGATTTAGCGCGCGTACGCGTGCGCGCTCGGTTATTCACGGAAACGTTTTATCGGACGTAGCCGCGTTATACTCTTATTTTCGATTTCCGTCTTTTTTTTCGAGACCCGCGCGTATCGCGAAATTATATCGGACGCACGTAAGCTGTTTATTTCTACTCGCGACCGCACGCCGCCGGAAATCGAAATAGTCAACCCATTTACTTACAATAGAACCGTTCTCTCTGAGACGTGGAGACTAAACGGATTATATTCATCCTGATTACAGCTTTCATAACGTCTCGGCCGCGAGGCTGCGAACGTCTGAAATATCGACGATATTCGTGAAATGACATTTTTATCACAGATTTAAGATCTCTCGCGATCTCTTGAATATCCTTGCCTTCGCAAAATCTCCTTTGCGGACGGAATTGGCTATTCCCGAGTTTATCCAAGAGGTTACCGTTAAATTCTATTCCATACAAAAGAAATATCGTTTCCTATTTTGCTTCTTGTCGTTTTTTTTTTTCATTCTTTTTGCGTTCTATTTTCCTGCTAACAACGCAATTGCCGATAATTCATCCGACTTGTCGACTATTTCACATCAATTATAATCGCGCTATCAACCATTACCATCGCGCACGAAACCGTTCGTGCGACAAATTCAGGAAAGTAATGTGATGTAAGTAAATTCAAGAAGTAATAACGAATGGATGTAATATGTACTCAGGGAGATCCCTAATGAAAAAGCAAGTGACGCGTGATCATAAATCACGGAGAATTTCTACGGTAAACGGCTCAATAATTATAATTCGATTTGCGATAATAATCTTTAAAAGAACAGCGCCGGTTCTACTGTGCGATTCGGTTAAATATTCAGACCGGTGAGTAGGATAATGAATGTACTCAGCTGTGCAAATCGCCGGTTAACAATACTGGCTCCTATAAAATTAATGCCTCCGCGCCTCCATTACTACAACTATTACAGACGTCGCGCGTTAGGTAAGTGGTCGACGTAGGGCGTAATTTTGAAAATTTCAACGGAGCTGCCTGCGATCGTCCTTACTTTGCACTTCCGCCGATCTCGCCGTATAATTCCGCAGCCATCTCGAGACGGGAACGTGCGGTAATTTTATCGTCGCGCTCCAGACGACGCGCTATATCCTCGATCCTAACCCATGAGCTTACTTATTTCCTATTATCGCAGAATTCGCTGTTACTCGTATTTACACAAATAGCGCAGGTAAAAAGAGAGGGATTATCATATAGCATAGGAGAAATATAAGATTCGTCTGATATTGTCATGGAAATAAGGATTTTTATACAAAAAGAAGAATCAAGCTAGAATCAAGTAGATATAATTAGCAGTTTTTTTCTTAAATCAAATCATATTTTTGTCAAGTAATATTATTATATTTAAGTTTGGGAGAACGCACAGGATAATACTGGCCAGCAGCGGGTAATGCCGGTTATCTTTATATGGACTGTAAGCTTCTGTTCTCTCGGAAAAGCCGAGGAAATTATGAGTCGAAAGATTGTTATTTTACCGGTGGTCACGTAAATATTACTTAAGTACGGTGGTGGTTTTAGTGTAAAAATATAATTTCCCTCCTGAAAGAAAGTAGAAATGTGAATCTGATCGTCGTAATGCGACGACACACGGTACTCCAAGATACATTTGGAGTTTACGGAGCTTACGCCGATAATTTCAGTCTGCGTCTCTTATTATTCCTTTTATCTGCGACGGTTCCTTTGCTCTCCCGGCGGTTACCGCGAGTGTCGCCGGCAATAGAAATAACCCGACGTGTCAGCACAATGAGAGCCTTTTTCGTCTCAACAAAGCCACGGTCGTAGGAAGGCGCGTCCATCGCGTCGAGGACGAAACGGTCCTTCCTTTCCGAACCCGAAACTCATTTGGGGCATGCGATAATACGGAAATGCGGTCATCGTGCTCCCCGGGATCGCGCGTCTCGTGTAACAACCGCGTGATGAGGTTACATCGGGATTAGCGTCACGAATCCGGACTCGTAATGCTCCGATCCCCCGACGACGACGTATCCGCGACGGCTTCGATTACTCACAAATGGAAAAGCCCGTGATTCCCATAGCCGGCGCGGAGTAATTTGATTTCTTGCCGGAACACGAATCCCTCTCTCGCGTCCCCCCCGATTCTCTTTCAGTCACTCGTTACATCTCGAGTCCTGTTGTTTTCATTAAAGAATTAATCTTTATGGTAAGTAAAACTTTCTTGCAATATTAAATTAATAACTCAGATAGCACAATGTTCGGGATCTAAGACATCTTTAAAACATCTTTAAGACGTCTTAATATATTCCAGTTCTGGATATTGGACTGTTGATATTGGGAAATCGCACACTTTTATTTCACGCTCACAATAGAACGGATTAGAAAGTAGTTGACTAACTATGTGATTGGAAATAATTAGAATAAAAATATAAATAGGCAGAAGTGAAAATAATCAAAGTCGATTAAAGGAAGTAATTTATAGAAGCAAAACGGTGGCATTTTACAGTTAAATGATTTTTTATTTAATTCTATATAATTTTAGTTAATTATGTTTATAAGCATATTAATAAAATGACATTACTTTTATGACTATTAAACGATTATAATTATTCTGTCATTTATGTTACTTCCGTTTAAATTAAACTTCCGTTGAACTACTTATTGGTTCCGTCACTTAATTATAAAGATTGATTCAGCCAATACGGACAGCCAGATTCTGTGTTCCGGGAACTCTAGTTATATTCTCATGGGGGAACCGCGGGTGCTCACGATTCTCAATCCGGCTCGTAACTTTTTACCCTCGTCGGTCGGTAATTTCGAGGCTCTTAACGATTTCCGCGTCCCTCCTTGAACATTCGTGCCACATGAGGAGCGGAGTGAGGCTCGTAAAAATTGCTCCAATTTATGTGGAACTTCCCGCGCGATGGGTTCGTGCAAAATCGTGAAGTTGAATCGACGGCGCGGTCGATGAAATTTGCAATTGAGAGAGAGAGAGAGAGAGACTTCACTTTCACTTCTGGATGAGTGTGCGCAAACGTTTTCCGGATCTGTAGATATTTTAATCCACGTGTGATCGCCGCAGCAACATTACACACAGCGGATAGTTTATAGATTTGATTGCTCGCTCGAGATAACGGGTTTTACAATGCAAATACCGACGTCAGCTTGATATTCCGTATCCGATACGGTTTCCCATGAAAATCCCTGGGTTCTTCATCGCGCAAACACGGATAGAGAGAGGCTCGCGGGTAAATCACGATTCAACGGCAGGCAGAGAGCCGGGTCGGGTTTTCGAAGATCCGATCGACCGTTCGTTTCGAGAATCCTTTCGCCGGCGACGACGCTTCCTCCCCACCTCTGGCATTCAACAGGTATCTACACAACCGATGTGCTGTCCCGTTCTCCCTTCTGCTCCTTCTTCCCGGTTAGCAAGAGCGCCTGCCCACCCGCTCAAGGACGCCTGCGTCGGTAAAGTAGACCGAAGCGGATGGTTGCTCCAGTGCGCCGTCGACCGTCGAAGGTTGCTGGTCGCCGCTCCGTTGTCGCTTACGATCGGTGTGTGTGTGTGTGTGCGTGCGATTCCGGCCGATTGATCGGTTTTGTTTTCTGCTCTTTCTCACTTTCTCGCCGGTAGGAGCTCAGGTCTCTCAGGTGTATCATTCCGAACGACAACGACGGTGGGGAAATCTGTGTGTCGGTTGGAGAAAAATGCGCGTACGGGCTGGTTAGAGGGGACCCCGTTAATCGGTGATTCGTTTGTGACTCCTCTTCGATCGCCGGGATGGGCGGGGATTTGGCGTCAGGAACGCGGATGTGTATTCAAATGCAGTTGAGAAGTCGAATTGTCAATCTCTCGCCGGCGTCTCCGTAGGATCACAGCAGTGTACGGTCGCGTTTGTGCTCGAGCGTTTACGGAGTTTGTCAGCGGGATGACCAGAACGGTCTTCAACTTGGCATCCGCCGATGCGGTAATATGAGATACCTTATCGAATCATTGGCTTGTTAACGATTAATTACATATCAGTTTCGCGGTGCTGTATTATTAAGCACCTTATTCACTGTCAGTTAAACGTCGATTTCACTTTTTGCGGCCGAACTTTATCCCACTTTTGAGACCTCCGTTGGCGCGATTGTGTTTAATAAAAATTCCCGATTAAACGTGAGGGACGCGCTGAAGGTGGGCACACTCGTTAAACTTCGCTTGATTACCTCGAAATTTACCTTCTGCTTATCTAAATTTAACATCTTGTTGATTACGTGACAAGGCAGAAATGTGCAGGATGTACGTAACAGAGCACCGAAGTTTTGATTTAAAGGCAGCCATCCGCATAATGCGGTTACAAACTAGAATGATAGTGCGGGAAGAGATGTCTGTTGTCGCGCGAAATCTGCGTCTTACCTGTAAAATCCCTGTGTAAACTTTAATTCCTCTTTTGCATACAACGGCATTTTTAATTATCTCAAGCTTCGTTGCTGAATTATTTGACAACGCCGGCTTAAAGACAGATAAAGTTCTTAAACTGGGAATTCATTAAAGTCATTTTCGCTACAAGGCTCCACCCGGGGTGTTTTTCGAGCGTATTTGCATCGTTTTCCGAGGAAAATCCGCCTCTTAAGCGCGGAATTTCCACACGAGGACATTTATCATTACCTCAAGTTTCATCATCGAGTCATGTCGCAGGAAATACCTCGGAATAGATCGGAGTTTCTTAAATATTTATTAAAGCGATATCTAAATTGTTTCCCTCGAAAGACATTTTGGAGCGTGTTTTCGTGCCACTCGAATTCTGCGCCAAACAGAAGCATCCTTTTCATTATTTTTAGCTTCATTACCGGGTTATTTAACAGCAGAGATTCGCAAATTACATTTTCATTAAAACACTTTACCCAAAATCTCTCCCTGGATTTAATTTTTCGAGGGCATTCCACGTGCGCGCGAGAATCGTGAATGAATCCATTTTTTTTTCTCGTTATCCCGAGTTACTTAACGACGGAGGGGCCCGACAGATGAGAAATTCGATTTTTCGTTAAGGTCAAAAATTGCGGGCCAAAATTTCTTCCTGTTTTCTATTTTCCGGCCGCGTATTTGCGACGCCAGCAGGAGCGACTGAATTCAACGGTATTAGCATAACCGTCCTCCATCACATTTGCTACGAGTAAATTTAATTCCGTCGCGCGAGATATAGTGCGCCCGATAAATGGGTTAAGCGTATGGGAGTGACAGCAAAATCTCGGTCCGGGATCGCGTCTCGAGAAATGTTTGCGCGGCCTCATCAGAAACGTCGTCGCGCGAGTGCTACAAAGTCGCGCCGATACACAAATAAAGAAATCAATCTAAATAGAGCAAAAGCGGGTAAATCGCTTTGACGTGTTATTTCGCAATCGAGGCGGCCAATTCCATCGCTACGGTCGCCATGGGAATTATAGTGAACCGAATCAATTTACAAAATTTTGCCGCGCTTTGTCGAGTCAATTTCAATCCGTGTATCGAATTACGAGCGCGATAGGGGGGCTGCAAAAGTGCATTAAATATACAAACTAAATATCGAATTAATGGTTTTGAGGTGATTCCGAGAAATAGTGGGTAATTGGGTTACACCCATCGAAGCGGTATTAAATATCGCGTTAAAAGGGAGGGGCTATTAGCTCTTTGCGAGCAAGCGTCATGATACGCATTATAATTTTGTTTTAAAACCGATAATCCTCCTCTCTCTTCTCTGTGTCGAACAACCTTTGAATGTGAGCGTAAAATGTGATGCATATGAGAGATAAATTTGAAATTCGGCATAAACATCATCATGCGAGTTTACTCTCCGCATTTGTCCAGAAGCGTAAAACTTTAACAAGCACTTCGCGCGAGTGCATAAATAACATTCCTGAAAGAAAGCCGCAAACGTAGCAGCAGTTTTTGTAACAGCCGTGTCGTGAAATTACAGCGGTGTAAGGTGCATTTAACAGCTTCACATATTACGACACACAACTTTTTTTATCCTCGTAGCCGCGAAATATAAAATGCGGAGGTGATTATATTATGGAAAGACACTTTAAGAAATTAAAACGGTCAATTAACAACGCAATTAAACGTGCGTGTCTCATGATATGAAAGATTTAAATTATCACTTCGCCGCCGCCTATCATTCTATCGGATCGACTTGCCGTGCCGAGCGGGAATAATTGCGAACCGTGTGAAAATTCAAATTCTTTAGGTTACTGAAAAACAAGTGCAAAATGAGAGAAAGCAGATAAATATCTGCTTTCTCTCATTTGATCTGATATTCTATCTGATATTCGGGAAATCCAAATTCGGCATTGAAAATGTTATCGCGTTGCAATACGGTTCTCCGCAAAAAGTAGATTTCGTAATTCGATACTGAAATCCGCTAAATCATGTAGCGCATTTTGTTCGTCCATCAATCGATACATCTCCGTTCTTTTATCTAGAAAATACGTGCATTATACGGATCGCCGCCTATGTGTCAATTTTTGCTCGATATTAAAATTAATTAATAACGGACGAGTCATGTCGAATCATCCATGGGTTCCGCGACACAAACTTGCTGCCGTGCGATGGATTTTTGCGCCTCTGTTCCTATTCTCGTCGAAATCGTCGCGTTGATATGGAAAGGAGTCACGTACGCGACCGTGGCTGGGAATAATTAGACGAGCGGTGAAATCGCTTATCCCTCCCGAATTAGTCCGTCATCATTTAGTTTGACCGCGCTGGGGAAAAAAGTCCGCGGGATTCCTCATTCGTGAGCGCACTTTTACGGTAGAAGGCCAACCGGTTCTGTCCCGATCGTCGTGAGAGGATTTTTGTTCCGACAAAGTGGGGGCGCTCGGGGAAGGTCAAACTTTCGATTCGTCGCCGCGGTCTACGCGTCTTCCTTCTTTTCACGGTCGGTATCGCGTAATTATACGCATTCTTGAAAATGCGGCCCCTTATTCGTCTCGATTGCAAAAGCAGAATTGGAGCGCGCCTAGTTTTTCAACAGCTTTCAGCAGAGAGACATTGCGTTGATACTCGTGCGAGAAGTGATTCGAGGCCACCGCGTCGCGTCCATTTTGGAAGAGAACGATCCTCTCATTAGAATGTAATTAAAATTGCATGTACATTAAATGGCCGGTTCGTAATTAGTGCACTTGTTATAATTGTAAGCGGCCTCTATGACGCGATTGTTATTCGTCGGTAGCGGAAATGATGGGTTTGCCATTCGTCGGGTGCGATCAGGCTGTGTCACGTACGAATCTATTTGCGCGCGGACAGTTGTTACCGGCTAGCCCGAATTGCATTATTATTAATGGATAATATCGCCCTATTTATCGGCAAATTATTCACTTATTTCGCGTCGTTCAAACAGCACGTGACATTTGATCTCTATTATCGGTCCCAATTAAACATTTGATCGTATTTGCGACATACGCGTGATGTAAATTAAAATGAATTCATTCGCGTAGCCGCGAAGATAACGGCGTCAGAATAACAATCACCGTGTTATTCGCTCATTGATAACGTTACGGTGCGATATTTTTCACGCGCATGTGAGGTGACTTAAGATAGCGAATTAATTGTACGATAAAATGAGACGAAGCTATTTCTATCGCGTACTCGACGAGTGGGGAGAATTTATCGTAAAATTAATCACCGTCTTAGGTAAAATACATTTTCGCCGTACTACGCGTTTTCAATATTTAACAGACAGGCATTGCGGCCTCACGCATATCGATATTCAGTAACCGATGAGCGATGAAAATTCCGGAGATAGATGACGAGGATGTAGCCCGGCTCGATCTAAAAGCGATACACGGCAAACACACGCGCGAGGATTTTCCGCGAGCTAACGAAACTATTTCCACCCAATCACGACGGCCCTGTATCGCCGATTAATACGGGCACAGGTAAATTGCGTTATTACGTTCGATAAAATCACCGGTGGTGGTTGCGTTGCAAAGGCTATTCTTGCGACGAGCGTAGCCGATCGGCGATCGATGTCGTAACAACGAACAGAGCAAACAGCCGAGCGGGTATTAAATTTGAGGTATGCACCCAAAGTTAACTGCCGATGGTTACATGCGAATAATACCGTCACGGAGGTGAGTATGGAGCAAGCAAGGGGGAGATAAAGCGGATTCATTAGAAAATTAAGTTCGCACGATAAACCGGGACACTCGTGCGAATTTGACCGATCGAGAAGTGTTCTTTTCTTCGATTGCAATGTAAATCGCAGCGAATTTATTCGGCGGAATTTAATGTTTATTCCAATTAGAGACGGACGTTCACTCGTTCGCGTGTTTCCATTATAAATCGTGCAGGCTGCGTATATTTTAAATGGCGTCAAAATTCTACCACCAACACGTTATATAATGCATCTCTGGCCTGCTCGAAATATGCATTTAGAGATAAAGATTTGTGAGCTATAATCATCACGTAGCGAGAGAATTTCAATCAGGAGAAGCATTTTCCTAGTAAGTGTCGATGATAGGCATATTGATACCATTATTTTTATAATTAAAAACATAAAGAGGGTATACTCGACTAGAAATTATTGTCGCCTGATATTACATGAGATTTCAACTAAGTGAGCGCAAGATGATCTTTACTATGGTAAACTTGCAGGATTACAATGATTAGCACCCAACAACCGGACCACGGGATAAATTTTTAATCGAGTAATTTAGGCCGATGATACTTGCTCTCAGTTTGTCTTTAAGAAATTAAAGTGAATACGCGAATAAAATTGTGTGGATCCACCGACAGTGTGCCCTTATGAAAGGAAAATGCGAACTAACGGATAGAAATTTGAAGATCGAGGCGGTCGATCCGCGGTAAATGTAAAGCATGTCTGCAACGATGTTTACGCCCGATGTAAGCAAAAGCTCGTTTGTACAATCGGCCGGGGGACTTTGTATATTCGTCGTTCGTCTGTAATGGACGACGAGCGCGTTCGTCGACGGCGATTTACCTCAACGCGAACAATGTGGGTTAACCGCCGAGGACCCGTGAACATGCGCACTCTCCATCCTTAGACACCTTACTTTCGAGTGGCCGTAGCGGAATGAAATATCGCGAGTCGGGAGGAAGCGGCCGAACAAGAGGGTCGTTCTCTTATATTATCGGTCGCGTATCGCAATAATGACATCGCGCGATCGCGCAGAATCTGGTATCTTCGTCACGCTGTTACGCTCGGTGCGTTGCACTGAATTTGTATTCGCCAAGAGACACATAGGTCAACTCTCCTCGACTTGGAAAATTATGAAATCCCGCGGGAGAGAGAGCTCAACCTCTTCTGTCCATCTTATTTTCCGATCGGCGCGCGTGGAGAAAATGTCGCGTGACAAACGAGCAGCGAATTGATCCGGAGGTGGAATTAATCACCGGAACTGTCATGCTTACACCCGCGGAAATACGGGAGGTCGGAATTGGTGCAGGATTTCAATTTGAATAGTTCAGTCTCGCTTTTTGCCCGCCCTTTTTTTGTTGCGACGAATGTATGTCATGCGGCCGATCATCGGTGATTGAAATACGCCTTCGTCGGGAGCGCACAGCAGTTGTGACTTCTCATCGAATTATACGGCCGACAATAATTTCCAAACCGTTTCCTCTTCCACCGCGGAATTAATACTCGACTGTGCATTTATTCGCGACTTGTGAACGCTTGATTAACGACGCGGGGAATATTCGACGAAATTGTCGCGTTGCGTAACGGAAGGAGCTAATCTGTCTTACGACATTACACCTTACCTCTCAACTGGTCGTGCTTTATTATCGGTGGAATCCCGGGCATCGCGCAACACAAATATACCGATGGCGGTTTATTCAATTCCGCCGTCACGGCGATCAAAAAGTCGGCACGTACGCGAAATACAATTTCATGACGTGGAAGGGCACCGTTGGAACGCTGCGCCGCGGTGATTTGAATAGCGGCGGTTGTATAGGATTTTTTCATCTTTCTTCGTGTCGCTTTTTTGTTTCCTTTTTCAAAACAGTTCGTCACGTCAATATCGAATGCGCGTTCGTAAGCGGAATATATCTTCGTCAAAGTCGCGGCGAAAAAACGAGCTCAAAGAGAGAGCGACTCGATCGGTCGGGACTTCTGCTATTCCCGTTGCTTTTATCACCGACGGCAATGCCGGCGTGGATTAATACATTATCCAGATCGAATTACGAGACATCAGCACTGCTGACGGTTTCTAAATACAACGCTGAAATATATAACCAAAATATTTCTCGCCTCGCGAGTCGATCGCTCGCCGCGAAAAGTTAACCGATCTTTATTAGATTCTTGATACGCGAGCGCCGCCCCCTTCTCCCTTGTCTACATTAGGCGCATCCGTGAACTTCAGGAAGCTAATGAATTACTCATCGCATCAGTATTTAACGAGTAGTCGTGTTTAACGCACGGATTCCGTCATCTCGTCGTTCGATTCTTCGTTCAAGTTACTTCCCGCCGTTTTTAAGCTCATTTAATGCGAGTGAAATTTTCACGAAAACTTAACAAGTATAATCTACGGGTGGGGAGGGGAATTTTAAAATAATCGCGAGCAAATGATGTTCTGCACAGGTAATGCTGTAGCCGGAGGCGATCGTTAATTCCCGACTCGAAGAAAATTGGAAAGTTTTTCGGCAGAATTTCCCATCGGAAATGAGACGCTTCATACGGAATGGGGGAAACGGATTTAGCACGAAAGATCGAACCCGTGTCTTTTTTTTAGTTAAATTAAAACAAAATGCTCTCACACAAGTTGATGGTCAGCGTTGTCGGCCCGGTGTGAATTTATTAAACCGCTTTGGCTGATAAAAGCGGGGCACAGATTTCCTCACAGTCGATACATCCGATACCTTGGACCTTTCGTTATTTAATGAGGGCTGCGAGCATTTAAGGGAGGAAACGACGGATATCGCCCCTCATCAGGAGGATGGGTTTCATCCTTGCCTGATAGGAGAATGCGTATATTCTCTTCCCGATATTCTCCTACGGAGTGTGTAAAATAATATTCCGACCTAGCCTCGGTCACTGACCGCCTTGGTGCTCCACCCTCTTTCATTCTGCTTCCTTTTATTTCCTTATATTTCCGCGACCTCCCGCGGCCTGACTTCGGTTTCCATTTGAATACAAAGCGACATCGTGTGAAAAATTAAATATAGGTCTCGCCGACCACTAAGCAGTGATTAATGGACCGAATCTATTGAATCGAGGCCGACCGGCGGAAAATCGGCCGGTAGTGAGATTTGGCACCGTAGAAAGAGATAGATAGATAGGTGGATAGAGAAAGAAAGGGGGGAAGGGAAACGTGGTGCGGGTGAGAGCAGAGAGAAAAGTGATTTTATTCCTGTGAGTGCGGAAACCCGTCCGTGACGAAAACTCGAAGGACCATGACGGAGGGCGAGCCCAACATCAGTGTAAGTCGCAAACGTATCCTTTACCTGCATCCTTCGGGCTATTTTTGGGACGGCGGGCCCGGTTCGTATCGTAAAATACCATTTGAAAAATTCATATTATGACGGTGCGGTATAAATATCTTTCATGACGCACCGCCGTATGTGGAATAATAATTGAGAAATTATACTGGGATAACATAAAACGAGTCCTTTAGAGACTGAAGTATGATTGGGAGGAATTCCGTTTTCTTAATTTCGGCGAATTCCTGCAACTTTCGATGTTTCGCCAGAAAGGAAAATAAAATGCTTTTAACGTCATGAATGAAAATTTCAGTCATATTTCGTGCGTTTCTGAAAAAAGCCGGGAAACATTGGGAATTATGAATTTTAGAAACTATTACTCGGGCTGCACGAATTGGAAGCTGAATACTATTTCATTTGGACTTATATTTTAATAGTATCGGAATTGTTTTTCGTATCGCAAAGCACTGTTATTGTGCTACTACGAGAGGAGCGTATTTGCCGTGTGTAAAATTTATTTGGTGAAAATAAAAGCTAGCGAAACAACATTGGGAGAAATAACAATTTGAAAATAATGACTTCTAAAATATTCCCAGCCGAATCTGTTCTGAGCTTTTTTTTTTTTTGATGAAAAGGCGTAAAAAACAGTCGCTGTTTTTAACACACTTTTGTTGCAATTTATATTTTTGCATTCGTCTCCCTTTGTGGAAGTCACAATGTCCCCGGTATAATATATACAAAAACATTTCAATGAAATCCCCGATGTTAAAGTAGAACTAAAATATAAAACTCTGTAGGGGGAGCTTTTTGTCCTCCTATTGCTCGACATGCGCAATTTTGAGTAATGCGCAGTTTATGAGGTTCGTGGGAAGATCTTGTGAAAGCATTTTACGACATGGACGTTTCATTATAGTCCCCGATCGTTTGTAACCCGGGAGAATATTGTTGTCACTTCGCTGGCCGTGAAGAATCGACCGTGGATTGATAAGAATTACGTGAGAGTGAGAAAAACTGCAGTGGATTAAGGGCGCCGTATAATTACGAGGTACATTAATTCGATTAATAAGTTTGCTGCAACTTCGCGTCGCAAGCTGGCGACTCTCCGTTGCCGCAAAGTAGCGAAGACGAGCTCCGCTACTTTACGCCGCGAGTTCTTTTTTGTCGTTAAAAACGTCGTTATCAATGTTCTCAGCTGGTCGCTCCCTATCGCTTTGTTTAGACCCTCTCCGTCGCGTTAACGAGCTCGTTAACGAGTGGTCTTATTTAACAGCGTATAGTTTTCCTTCCCACGATGCGATTACTCCATGCTATTATCAAGCGAACAAAAAAAAACGCTTGTAATACCCGGCGGGTTTGTATATTCTTCTCTACAAATTGTTAACGGTTACGTCCGATAGCTATCAGTCTTTTAGATCACGTTCAACGTACTTTGTCGAGTCGAAAAATGAAAATGTCACTGATTAAATCGGTAAAACAGCACTGACTGAATCGATTCATTAATTTTTAGTGCAAATTAGAGGTCAAGGATTTTTTATGTCGAATCAAATCTCGTTTTTTCTTTTTTTTTTGAATTCGAGTTTCACCCGATACCGCGCACGCAAGCTAATATCCAAATGTCATTACGAACGAATTCATTTAACTGCCGAATCAGACTAACGCACCTCTCTCGGAGGGAACGTTGCAGACGTAACACCGCGAAACATTCCCGTGACCCGTTACTTCCTTCTTTCTCTCCTCGGTTCTTCTTTCTTTTTTTTTCCCTTCCTCCCTCGCTGTCGGTACTTTTACGAGCATTTTCATTCGCGCCGGAAAAACGAATTAATCTCTCGCGTGGCACTTTTTACGCGAGCAAGGGAAATATCTCGGGCGGAATCTCCATTATGCGAGGAGTAACGCCGCGGGGTGATCAATTCCGGCGATTCGCGCGTCCCCTCCCTCCCCTGTGAATCAAATTCAACCTGCAGCTCGGCAATGTGTTAACCACTTATATGTGCATATTAGAATACGCTCGGGGTAAGGCGCGCTATTAAGGCATCGCCGTAACCGAATTCCATGTATCGGCTCGCCTTCCACCGGAACTCGGAGCATCCGAGCAATTCGCACATGAGAACTATCGCGCTACACACCACGCCGGCAATAGCATCTGTTTCGCCACCATATATTTCGGCTAATCCATAAGCAATATAGATACAGGAATTATAGATAGGGGAACGCGCAAATATCCGGAACTCGTCGTTCTATTCGCTATTAAATATTTCCCGTCGTAACAAATAGGGCGCAAAATGTTATTTTTGCATAATCATATATCTTTATTATTCATTTTGCGTTGAGTGGGGGGGAAGCTAGACAGACGTCGACAAATAAAAATATTAGTGGTGTTCCGCTAATTTATAAGACGTTGACTCCTCGTGACCTTACGTTCGTTCATTTTTCTAACTCACGCGAGATCACGATAAGGGAGAATGATTCCGATCACACCGATGTTCTTCAATCGCGTTTGAATAATCCGCGTACAACATTTCATCACGATTAAAGTTCAAGCATTTACCATGAAATAAGTCTCGCGCGGTCATAAAGACATATATAACTTGGTGCGAAAGACAGTTTTAGGTGAATAAAGACGTCGATGGCGTCGGTTTATTCTAATCTAGCAAAGTGCTCGCCGGTCCGAGGTTCTGTCTCGGGGAATAAACGGTTCGAAATGGTGCATTTCATTGATAAACTGCGCAACAGAGACCTAATCGCATGTATACCCTAATACCGCGATTAATTAAGATTAAGTTCGGGGATACAATCGAGATGCCGTAATGGCAGTTGGCGCGGGCGAGCTTCGGCTCAGAATGTGCTCGCATTCCGAACGATTGTAACGCTCGATCAATTAATACACACACTCCCTTGAGTCGGATCAGTCACCGATTGAATCAGTATTTTACCATTTCAACCAAATCGTCCCGAGACGAGTGCTTTTATGATCTTAACAGTTATCCGCGCGATTCGAATTATTCGTGAGTTGCACGTACAAGTGAAAAATGAGTCGAGTGCATTAAGTCTTATCAAATTGCTGCCGGTAAATTATAATAAGGTAAATAAATGTAGTAAATCTTAACGCCAGTATCGTTTTCATTAAAAGATAAAAATTTAATTTTCTTCCCTTTCCAATTCGATTAGAAGGTTACGCGAGCCGATACTGGCAAGATTAGTTCCGTGTCGAAAGATCAGGTTAGACGTCCAGTATTACGTTGATCTCGTGTGTGTGTGTGTGTGTGTGACGACACACGGATTCGCGAGGATCGATGTCTTACGTTTGCTCACACGCGAGGTAACGAATCACCGTCTGCTTTCGCACCAGCATTACAATTAACACCATTACATACGTCGCACTCCCTAATGACATTTCGTTGCCAAATTGGCTTGTACGGCAAAGTTATACCGTCGTATTTATCTTCCGTTACGTGTGCACAGCAAACTCGTGGGTACCGTCATCCCCGCTTGGAAATGAGTGGAACCAATTGCATAGCGAGATCCGCGTAATCGCCCTGGTAATCGTTACGTTGGCGTCGCGCGTTTTAACCGCACTAATTTCAGCGTATAAATGCCCGACGAGAAGTGCTGAGCAGGAGGATTATTTTATCGCAGGAGTCGCTCGAAATTCACGTACGCGTGGAATAATTTGCGCTTCGCAAAGCATGACGGGAGTTATGTAAACCGAAGGACAGCGGAATTAATCGCTGCGTTTAATGAAGAGAGAAAGAATCCAAACTCAAATGTTGCCATAAAACGGCAGAGTTACGGAAAACGAAATCAATGCATTCATACATTACTAGTTAGGGCTTCGATACTTGTTCGGATCTATTCGGCTTACTCGATTATTAGCGGATAAATGTGACGCTTCGAATCCGGATCTCAATTCGTGACTGAGTCAACCAAACAAATACGATCGACCGGGTAACATCGATTCAATTCTTCTTAATTGACGAACTCTATCAAGACGCGTAACCTCGGCGATGACAGCGAAGTTTGCGATGAGCGCGAATTGAAGTGAGGAACCCATCGAGATCAAAATTTCACATTTAGCTACCCGTTTCAGTTGTTGTTTAATTACCAGTTACCTAGTTTTTAACTGTGGGAGCTAATTTTTACGACTATATTCGTACACGAAAAAGAAGAATTAGCTGCCACAGCTAGATTTGATGGTACTAAATTTAAATTGTATTATATGGCTGGCTAATTTTTAGCTGCGGGAGTCTATTCTTTTCCGTGTGTGCAAAGACAGATTTTCGTAATACTTGGACGAATTTGCGATTCAGCCAGATACATACATATATTTCCTCCCAAGAGACGTAATCGCGACGAGGGTGCAAATGTAAAAGAAAAAAAGAAGCCAAAAGTAACGCAACGATCGGCGAATTCATCGACGTATACGCGAGCGAAACGCAGTCAATCGACTATCGTGAAATTCATACGTCACTTTTACGAGCGTGGTGGTGACGCGAATGTATATATAAAAAAAGAATTGAAAATAAAAAAATCACCGTAATCGAGCAATGAACGCGTCGGCGAGCGTGCGAAACAATCGTTAGACGCGTGAAATTGTCACGTCGAATTGCGTCACGAATACTTCGGCGAATTTAAGCGAACGAAATTGTTGAGTTAACGAAATATCCGCGTGGCGTAATTACGACGTACGTATCGGAAATGTAAAGAACTAAAGACCGTAGTGATCGCAGGATCTATCAGCACGAATGAAATTACAGCGAATTTCACGGTTGATGGCGCGATGCTGGATGCGCCGATATATTTCGCGAATTTCCACCGTCGAATAAAATTCGATGGTACTCGGACGGTTGTGTTAGAAAATTTAGCCGTCGAACGAAGAAGCAATATGATAAGTCACGTATTCTAAAAAGGACAATATTTTGTTAGCAGAAAATTGTCTATTATTCGTGTAATTATTTTTTCTGGAAATTTCTTTTACGATACGACAAAATGCTTAAAATAGT